AATTTAAGGATTTGATAAAAAAAGAATTCCGGGAACAACTTCAAACAAGAAATACAGAACAGAGCTTGATTTCCATGAAACAAAATAATCTGCACATAGGACAAGCAACCCATCACTTGAAACAACGAAACATGCCTATATTAAATTTAAGGATTTGATAAAAAAAGAATTCCGGGAACAACTTCAAACAAGAAATACAGAACAGAGCTTGATTTCCATGAAACAAAATAATCTGCACATAGGACAAGCAACCCATCACTTGAAACAACGAAACATGCCTGTTTCATGACTACGTATATACAACAAAAGAACAGGCTTGCTAAATTTGAATATATACAGGTAGAATAAACTAAACAATTTGTTTATACATGGTTCATGATCAAGTACGTACAACAAACAGACATGCTCAGACAAATTTCAGTAGATACAGGTAGATTAAACCAAAGAATGTGTTCAATCAAGGATACATAACTCCCTACTATTGACACGTATAACTCGGAAATAAGAAGCAGCTAACCAATTCCCTCAAGATTTAAGATTTTCATAGCTAACCAATGATTGTTTCCCCACTTTTTTTGTTTAGATTCAATAACAATTAATTATGCATACTAAAAACTTAGCAATTTTTCATGGGTCATAACCCACAACTTTTGTCGAATTTTGTTTGTTTCGACTTAATGGCAATTAAGCATGCATATCTTCGAAACTTCGCTATTTTCATGAGCTAAAAACAATGATTATTGTCCAATTCCATTTATTTCGACAGAATGTCATTTAAGTATGAGAATTTCAAAGTTTGCGATTCTCATGTTGTATGCCTCACGATATTTGTTCATTTTCGTCTATTTCAACTCTAAGATAATTAACTATGTGCACATCAAATTCACGGTTATCATGGTTTATAACCCACTATCTTTATCCATTTTTCGTTCTTTTAACCAAAATTTAGCAATTAAGAAAGATGCTCTAATGATTAACTTCAAAGAGGAGATGACCCATATAATAGAACGGAATGGAAGAGTATTCATGTAGCCGAACCCAAACATTTGGAATACATGTTTTGTTGTTGTTATTGACCAAACGACAATTAAGTGTACGTATTTTAAAATGTTACAATTTTCATGGACACCAATGATTATTTTCCATTGTATTTTGTACATTTTCTTGATTTTCATGGGCGTTAAACCATGATTTTTGTCCCTTTTTTGTTTCAATGCAATGACAATTACTTAGCACATTTAAAAATTAGCAATTTTCAAAGGTTTTAACCTTCGATTTTGGTCCATTTTCGTTCATTTCAAGTTTTTCAACCCAATCTTAATCAAGCATGAGAACTTTGAAGTTCGCAATTTTCATGGATACCCAAATTTTTTTCATTTTCGTTCATTCCAACAAAAAGGCCATTAAGTATGCAGACTACAAATTCACAATTTTAATGGGTTATAGCCCACAAACTTTGTCCATCACATTCATTTTGACCCCTATGAAAAATTAATTACATATACTTCAAAATTCATAACTTTTGGGCTATCACTCATGTTCTTTGTCCGTTTTCTTTCTTTACTAAATGACAATTAGGGATGCATATTATAGAATTTCACGATTTCAACCTATAAATTCTTAGCATCCATTTTCATTCATTTTGACCAATGACAACTACAAATGCCTACTTTTTGACGATCTACATAGGATATAAACCATGATTATTGTCAATTTTCGTTTCCTTCAATGTAATGTTAATTAAGTATGAGAACTTTAAAATTTGTGATTTTCATGCGCTATAACTCAAGATTTTTATATTTCATTTGATTCGACATGTAGGCCATTAAACATGCGTACTTCAAATTCAAGGTTTTTACAAGTTATAAATCTTTGACTATCTTTGTTTATTTTTTACCAAATGATAATTAATGCATAGTTCAAAGTTTGTGATTTTTATGGGCTATAACCCATCGTTTTTGTCCATTTTTGTTTTTTTCATTGACTATACTTCAAAAGTTTTATGCATACTTCATGTACAACCCATGATTATTATCCATTTTTTTGTTTTGACCCAGTGCAAATTAAGTAAGCTACAACAAATGATTTTTCTGTTCGTTTTGACCCAAAGGCAACTAAGTATATTCACTTCAAATTCATGGTTTTTATAAGTTATATTCTGTGATCTTCATCCATTTTAGTTTATTTTGACCTAATAATAATTAACTATGCGTGATCCAAAGTTCATAATTTTTATAAGCTATAACCCATGATTTTATCCATTTTCATTCTGCTAACCAAATGGCAATTGACTACATATACTTCAAAATTTCATGAATTTCATGGACTATAACCCATGATTTTTGTCTTTTTTTTAACCAACGTCAATTAAATATGTATATTTCAAAATTCATGATCACATGAGCTACAACGCATGAATTTTTTAATTTTCCTTCATTTCGACCCACACAATTAATACACTTACTTCAAAATTCACATGAGCTACAACGCATGAATTTTTTAATTTTCCTTCATTTCGACCCACACAATTAATACGCT